CTACTTCCCTACCGCAGGCTGCTGCTCAGCGAGGAGCTGAGCACTGTTTTGAGTTTTTACCTGGTGAGATTTGTAATGTGCGGGTAGTTCAGATAGAGGCCTCGGAGGAACTCAGAGAGGTCCTTGTAAGGGCGGTATCGGTACGGAGAAACATCCCCCGAGGAGGTAAGCAGGAGGTGTTCCACACCATTCTCAGCAGAGAGATCTTTGATCAGGATCTCAAACTCCTTCTCACTGGGGTCGCTGGTATCTGGGGTGTTCAAGACTGGCATCTTCCCCTCCTCCATTTTGATGTCTGTCCGTGAAAGAGTGAAGTTGACCTGCACCGCACCTTTGCTGCCAACTTCCACCATCTTAGTGACTGGATCATATCTGCCCAGGGAAGAGAAGGCACAAGGAAACGTCAGGCATTTGAGACCTCACACAACAAGCCATCCCCATTCCTGACTAGACACTCACATGGGACTGCTTACTGCTCCCCAGCCAAAAACTGAGAAGTGTAAAAATGAAGAGCAAGAGCACTTCAAAGGGACATGGGAATGGCAGGAGCACAGGGAGCAGCTCAGGGCCCAACACGGCGCTGCGTTGCTTTTGGCTCAGGTGTTGCAGGGTTACGTGGCAGACTGGCAGGACAAGAAACCAGGCTGCTTTAACACCGAGGTTTTGGCAGCGGTTGAAGTGATGAAGTCACTTCTGCAGGCAGCTGCCTGCAAGAGAATTTCCCCTAAAGACACTAAGTTATCAACTCCTTCCCCACACCACCCCCAAACAAGGGAAGATTTGGATTGTACACCGGTGCCAGGTGAGCAGTCTTTGATACCAGGGTAGCATCACATTGCTAACTGTTCACAGGCCAGAGGCAGGAGAAAGACTCATGCCTACATCTGCTGTAGGTAGAGGCACTGGGACTACTCCTGATGCAGAAGTCGGTTGTACAGCCGTTTGCTCCTTGTGCCACGGCTTGCTCACCCTCGGGCAGATGCTGTGATTTTGTACGTCCCCTGGACCAAGAGGCGCCAGTAGTCTCCATCCTTGTAGGTAGTCACCGGGTGGTTGATGTCGGCAACGCTGATGGTGGCATTAAGAATGCCCCTTCCATCCATAGCATCCAGCACAAATCCCCAGACGCCGCGGTGAACCTGTGCACAGACGCAGAACCCTGCTCAGTGCCAGCCCTTGCTCTGCCGCCCACCCCACACATCTCTGTGGGAGTGCTGACACCCAGATCCCACCAGCTCCCAGCCCAAAAGGTTCAGCATTCCCAGAGGAGCAACAGGGAACCCAAAAGGGTTGAGGCTAGACTTGCCAGCAGCTGGCATGAACAAAGATCACCTGATGAGTACAATGAGCAATTGTTTGGCTCAGCGTGCCACCACAGCTCTCCTTGCTCCACACCTTTGTTTGCACGCGCCAGGTGTGCAGCACTACCACCAGCCCTGACTCAGACAGGAACAGCCCATACATAAGGACCACTCCA